GCCGTCGTCTCCCGCCCCCCGGCCCTGCGCGGAGCGGCGGGGGTGAGGGGAGTAGGCGCGCTTTTAAACTTAATTTATAAAATGCGTAAGCACTGGTGTGACTGTCGGAACAGGCATTGAGGGCCTACTGGAAAACAAAATCTTGTTCAGATATTGTGGAATTTTTTTTCAAAATTATCAAACTTAACTGAGACGGATAAGAAACTGAAGTTCAGTTTCCCCTATATGACTTTTGTAAGACTAGTAATAGAAATGGTAATATTTCTGCACAGCCAGCTTGGAAACGCCAGCTGTAATTAAAATACTTTGACATAGGAAAACACTTGACTATTAGCATGATTAAGCCCAAATAACTGCTTTAAGTAAGTAGCATTGCTATTTATATGTTCTTTTGCTGCAGAAATCTCTCCACAAAAATTACTGCAAAACATAATTACATTAAAAAAACTTTTAGCAATTACCATAACTTAAATCTTTTCCCATCACTTCATAGCATTTTCATTTCTAAATAAATGAATTGAAACTATGCCGGTTGAGCATTCTAGTAATATGGTATTTTATTAATAAATTGATTGTTGAATTATTTAAGGCTCATTTTAAACTATTTCCTGCCACTGCCATTTTGAGATAAAGTTTAATTTTCTGATGAATTATTTTGAAGATTAATTTTGCTACTGTAATATTTCTTTTAAGACAAAGAGCTTTATATTGAAATATTGTATAAAATGGTGGAATTACTTTATGTGAATCTTAAAAGGTGGGGAATGGCATTCACTTTCAACTCATTGGGCATATGAATTAATGCTGATTTGGTCAACCTTAACCTAAGCAGATTCTGTCTTGGGACAAGAACTGGGAAGGTACCTCCTCTTTACATGGCACTGAAACAGGGAGAAGCAGAGGAGGCTACGTGTATGTGCAGTTACAATCCACCTGCTACTTCTGATCTGGAACTGAGTATTTTCCCCCGCTCAACAGAATACCTGAGAATTACATGAGCTTCATTTCGCTCTTGTTTTTCATGTAGAATTTACACCCCTGCCAAACAGATTTAAAGTGTACCAAAACAGGGTGTTAGCATTTCACACTTAACTCAAACTCTCTGCAGAATCCTTGGCGAGCTTTAGTGGCATAAATTAGTAGTAAAGCTGTTGAATTTACTCCAGAAGATTTTACGGTCACTCGATGAATCCTTAAGTAATATAAATACTTTACACAGCAAACATATACCCTTGAATTCTAGTAATAACAAGTCATCTTGAATGGCTCTTCAGGCAACTGTGAAGTTTGAATCAGGCCTAGTTTGAATTACTTCCCTAAGTCTGATAGTGATGTATGACTATTTTTCTTTATCTATTTTCTTCTGCAAAAGGATCTGCTGCCTGCAGCTTGTTTATGACCGTACCAAGTACGAAGCAATGAGGAACCAGGCCCAATATATTTCTAGTGCATTGGGCTGCTATGAAAACTTATTTGAGGAATTAATTCAGAAATCTGATTTTGTTTTTCTTAAAAATGAATAAAGGTTAGCTTTTCCCGCTACCTGTTAAGTGCAGTTGCAAGTTGAAGAGGAACAGATGGAATGTTATTTAATGAGTTAAAAATGCAGTTTAAGCATTTTCGCTGTCCTTTGTCTATTGTCTTTTATTGCTCTTTCTGTGGTACTCTATGATGTCTCCATACTCTTTTCCCCTTATTTTCTATGATAAGTTTAATGTGGTCTGTTTAATGTGATCATACAAACTCTTAAAATAGAAAGTGAGAATGGGAAGATAATTTGCACTAGAGACTGATGCAGGAAGTGCAAAGGTGACTAGGAGGACAGCAAAGGAGTTCAAGTAGGAAACCTGAAAAAAGGCTTAAAAATACTTTAAAATTCAGTATAAAAAGTGAGGGAGGGAGAGTATATAAGGACTGGGATTCATATATGGACAGAAACATTTACTTTTTGAAGTGACTGCTGTGCGAATGAAGTATGTATACAAATGGAAGAACAGCATCTAAGCTTTCTCAAAATCTAACAGTCAAGGTCACTGAAAACATCAAAAAATAATTCCAGCAGTCTTATGTATCTTTCTTCAGTAACTACATTGTTTCCACTTTTCCCAGTTCTTTTTGTATTAGTAGTTCAAGAGCGCCATCTTTAGGTTTAAGTTATTACTGTAATAAAATTGTTTCCTGATCGCGTTGATTAAATATCACCTAACCATCCCATGAACAGTTTATATCGGGTCTTCCATTTGTCAGTTTGCAGTGCTTCACTTTTCCAGGTGCATTTGTCTCTTTCTATAAACTTTGAAGACTTTCCTTTCTGTTTGAGATTGTTGTTTTCAGTTTTTTCCTGATATTAATTTATCCTTTTTTGGTGGATTATGGTTTTCCTTTCCAATTATGGTCTATACATCAACCTAACAGCCCATAAAATATTTACGGATCATGTGGATAGATAATAGTGGCAAAAGGAATTTTAAAAGAGGAGGTTTTTTCAGGTAAGATTGATAATTTTATATAAACGAGCATGCTTTTATTAAAATCACAACAAATATGCTGATTTTTGTCAATGGAGAATCTGATCCTATGTTCTTTTGGGACCTGACTTTAGTGAAAAAAGTACTTTTGTTTCTCTCAGTGCAGCAGAAATCTAAAAGACATGGCACGAATATTCTAGTGAGAAAATTTTAATCCATGCTAGTTTAAAAATAAATAAATAAATAAAACATACCCCCAAAACAACCCCCAAGCCATGTAGGAGGTCTTTAGGGAAAGTGAAGTTACTTGAAAAATGTTACTCCTCAAAGTTGTAGAAGTTGCACATAGTAAAGAAAATACTGCAAAGTAAATTAAACTGTTAATCACAGAAATCCGTCATACCTGAGACTGCTCTTGCAATTATCTTCCCTCAGATTTTGTTCCCAAGTGAAGTGTTATTTTTTCCTGCTGCCTAAATATTTTGAACTGAGCATTCTGCTTGCATTCTGAAATGACGAGTATAGACAGTCCTTTTTATCTTACCTTGATTATCTTTTCCTGAAAGCTGGAGGATCAGCCTTGCTTCTCTCTTTCATAGCAATGCTGTAAGGTAGAGAAGTATGATTACCAATCATATATTAGATGGGGTGAACTGATAGTTTGCCATTATTGCTCAAATTGAGATAAATTAAAACAAAGCTGGGGCTGGAACCCAGATCCCTTGTGGCCCCTAAAGCCAGTTTACCAGAGTATTTATTGTTACTTTTACTTTGTCAACGTTGAAATGAAGTTAGCAAGCATTGATCTGCTGCCACATAATTGTTTAGACCATCTTCATAAAATAATTGCTGCTAATGATACAGTCATTATTTTATTGCTGCCTTTTGTATTAAAGGCTTTCTGTACCTGTGTTACTTGCTTTCTTTTCCAGATTCCTCCCTAAAATGAGAAATCACAAACATGCCTTACCTCATGGTAACACACGTCCTTTCCAAACAGGAGGTGGAGACAAAGAATGCAGAATACAGAGCAGTCGGCTAGCCGTTCTTGTCTTTCTGCTGGCTTACATTCTGTATTGCGTGAAACTCTGTAAAACAAACTTAAATCTGACTTGAACTAGAATGCCCAGCTGAAAGATACTTCAGTTTTATTTTTTCAGAAGTGTTGTATGTCTTGCAAAGCTTTGCAATTAAATTTTTTTTAATTTTTTAAATCTCTTTTTAAAATAGAAGAAATGCAAATTAAAAAAGCCATAAAATTTTTCTGTAGTAGATTGTTTTGAGTTAGCTGATACTGGTTTTAATGTTTTATGGCTATAGGCTAGTTTTGCTGTTACTATTTGAAAAGCTTCCTGGGGAAATGCTGCTACAGGTTTACTACCCTGCTAGAGAACGTGAAGACTTAGCCTTTGAAGTAAAAACAAGGGGAATCAAGAAAGGGATCTCTTAACTGCTTTTTACATAGAGCTAGTCATGCTAAGACTTCCTTCTAATCAGTAAATCAGCTGCTTATTTAACAGTCAGTTTCAGCTTAGTTACTCTGTTAGTACACAGCTTGACAAACGTACGTTTCACACTGGGATGAGTACACTTGATTTGGCAACATTACCATGTGTAGAAATCACAAGCAAATGAGAATTTTAAAGTAGTATAATATATTAAGTAGTCTACGTGTATATCAAATTTACCTATTTTAAGAAAATCACAGTAATAACAAAAACTAAGCTCATTAACTCGTTAATGGTCAGAATTCAGATTAACACCCTGACTGACTGTATCACAACAATGCAGTTACATTTTTATCTCCATTTTGGACAGTGCTTATCATATAGGCTCAGTTTAAAATGTGTTAGTTCTCTTGCACAGCTTATGAATATGTTTAAAGCTAAACTGAAGTGCTGTTCATAATATGGATGCTTTTCTGTGTCATGCCATTACTTTTCATCACCTTAATGGGAATCATACATTGTGTAAGACATGAGACAGGTATTAACTTAATGTCTGTTGAAAAGCAAGTCCGTTAAGGGTATAGAGTAACCTAAAGTATGTTTGCTTTTTCAGGTAGATTTAATTGTTGTATTACTGTAATTGTTTTATCTTTTAACAGCGCAATCCTCAAAGAGATTTTTAAGAAGTGCAGAGCCAAGAGACAGTAACTTAAAAATAGTGGGATCTATCATATTTCCAGGTATTTTTCTTTAAATGTAATGTAACAATTTACAGTTAAAATATTGTTTTTACCAGGAAAAATGCCCTTCTTTACCATATTGTTTATTGTTAAATAGTTTTAAATGACTTAATTACAATTCTGAACTGAAGTACGTATACTTAATAGGCCACATCCCTCAGCATCTACTTCTGTCCTTGTAATTTATCTTTTTTATAGTTTTATTCTTGCGCATAATTTTTATGAAACCAAGAAAACTATTTTCCATAGTAGTTATAAAAATAACATTCTTTGTACTTTCTTGCACCTGGCTGTAAGAGGCTTGCTTTGAAATACTCCTTTCTTCGACTGCATGTTATTAGCCTTATTTGTTATGTGCACAGAACCCGAGACATGAAATACATGTTATTTTCTCCAAAAAAAATTGAGAAGAGTTAAGAATTAATTCTTTTTGAAGTGAAATCCATTTAATTCCAGAATATGTCATCACTTTATTTGCTAATTAAACAAAGCAAGTACTGGATAGTCTAAAAATTAAGGACCAGCCTGTTCCTCACTTGCTATATACTTGCTATACTTGCTATATGATAGTTAGTCACTATCTCCCATCTAATACACATTACCTGTTTCATTTTGATAAGCTTTTCTTCATATTTTTCTCTATCTGTGCTCTTCAATTATAGCTTTACTGGCAGCATAGCTAGTCATTATAAAATACAAAAGTTTTCAGTTTTCTACTGAATGTGAGAACAATAACATGTGGGTTTCACTAGGGCTATTAGTGAATAACAATGGAGAACAAACCTCAGGCTAAAACAAAGTCCTGTTCCAGGAAATACACATAGTTCTTTGTAGCATGTTTCTTCAAAATTGGCTATTATATAGGAAATTAGCACACGTAATTTCTTCAAACTGATCTATATGTAAAAGCAGTTCACAAACACAGCAGCATTTTTCAGCCAGGGAGATCAAACACACATATGGTTGGGAATTTATTGGGAAGAGTCTTTAGGCAAATATGCAATTTTTTAGGGAAAACCAGATTTCTGTGGATATTCCTTCAGGTTCGGGATAGCGCTTCTTGTCAGAGAAAGATCTACCTTAATGGAGCTGAGTGCCTGGTGATTGTAGTGCTCCATTGTAAAATGGGAGATCTGGTTTCAAATTGGTGGTTATAATTTTTAAAATTCTTGGTTTCATACACTGCAAATGAAAGTGAACTCAGAAACCTGTGTGGTATTTTTCCCCCAGTGAGCTCTGTTTACAAAATATGTAGTCCCTTCATTTTCCATTTGTTCCTTGCATCATACAGTTGGCAGCTGGGAAACATGATTTCTCTTCCCTTCTCTCTCCCAAAATACAAACATATCAAAAACAAATGAAAGCACTTCTTTGAGAGGTAAACAAAATGAAATGTACTTGTCTGCCCTTAAGGGCAAGGCATTTTCAAAGTATATACAACTACAAAGGTTAGAAAACAGCTCCCCTCACCTTTCTTTTTTCCTTTTTTTTTTTCATTATTGCATTTACAATATTTATGTTGCAGTTGGAGAAAGAGTCAAGTTTCTTCCGTTTGAACTTAACACCAGAACCAAAGACAATGCTATTATCAATGAGATGCTGTACTGATGTTGTGCAGCACAATAGTGAACAGTCAATCTTACCTGAAACAGTGTCTTCACATTGTAGTATACTATGTAGATATGGGAGCTCTGCATTTCTTTTTATTAACTCATTCAGCAATGTGAATATGCACAGATTATCTCTAAAACTTCTGCTGTTTGGGGGGAGAGTGAAAAAAGAAGACATACCTTGACTTATTTTGGTACAGATCTTAGACCTGTTAAATTTTGTCTATAGATGAAACAATTCTAGGAAATCTGTTTTTAAAGATTTCTCTTGGTAGTTTATATTATGAAAGGGAAGAGATAAGCAATACATAGAATTTTGCCACAGTAGACTAGTATTAAAGTCAGTAGGTTAGTAAATTTGGGGAAAAGTATGAAGTATTTACAATAGAAAAATATTGATCACATTTGCCATTGCATTAGCAAGCAGAGTTCAATATAAATTTTCATACTTCAGGGTAAAAAAAATGAAACCTCCCGTGTTAATTACTTTATTTCCATGGCATATTGCCATACCATTGAAAAGATAGGCTTTGCTGTTTTCTGCAATATAAGCTACTGTAAAAAGCTGATTATTAGATGAGATGAACGTATCTCCTGTTAAGACTATCACAATTCTAAAATTATTAAGTTGTATCAACTATAATTATAAATATATTAACTATTATTATTCATTATTAAAGTTTATTAAATGCTAAATCTGGATCTATGTTCTGTTTAAGCAACTTAATATGACTTACTGAGTAGCACAAGTGTAAGTGGCTTTTCATTTTTTAATGAAAGCAAACAATCATATTTGGCGGGGACAGACCACTTAATGGTGGCATTACTACCAGTTGCTGTAATGGAAAAAGGCAAACTGTTTTTCCATGCATTAATCCCTTCCTGCAACAAATACGTAGACTGTTTTCCACTTGCAAGGAATCTGAAATGGCCAGTGGTAAACTAATATTGTGGTAGTTTGCTTATTTGATTCAGTCTGGATAATTAATAGATTCTCCAAATCAGAAAAGTTGTACTAACTGTAGTATTTTACACTAGTTGTAGCTTTTCAATGGCATTGGGGTAGCCTGATACAGAGTACGGTACCATAGTCAAGTCTAAACTTTACTGGAGCATGAATAGCTAGCATCACATGTTTCTGAAGATCACAAATGCTTTGCAGAATGTTAGGGGAAGGGAAATAAAACAAATTGTAGATACTGAAGTGCTGTATATTCTAAGAGTGATTGTGACCATACAAATCTTGCAGTTTTTTGAAGCAACTGAAGAGCTAGAAGTACCTGTACACCACAAATCTCATGCAAGACATGCACACCTCTGTTACCATGGGAAAAGACTGAGTAAATATTTACCTTATTCAGTTTGCTTTCCATCTTGTTACATTTGAATTAAGCAATAGGTAACTCAGCATTTAGTACAATGCTAACCACTTTTTAAACAAATACCAAGTGCATTGCACAGAGTCTGGTAAAAGGCAATTGCTAATAGCATGGAAAAAGCAAGCTTCCAAGTCTGAGTAGCCTCGATCAACATACTGAAATGCAGCTTGCTCTATGTGCATTATACACCAGCTGAGAGAGAACACTGCAGAAGCCCATGCTTGTGAGAACATATTAAGTGCCATGCTTCATTTAAGAGGATGTTGCAGTGCATTGTGGTCCTTCTTTACACAACCAAATAAATATGGAACTAGAAAGAATTCTCTTAATTTGATTTCCCAGAGAAAACAAAACTCTCTACTTAATATTTCATTTCGGTAGTAGGTATAACAGGACCAGTCCGAAAATTACAACTCCATCAAGACTATCCTTGAACTGATATCTTGAAATTGATATAGCTTACTGTTAGAATATCATTGATAATTATGTTACTAATGATAACAAATTGTTTTCAGTCAAAGTTTATGTTAAGCTAAATCAAAACGGTCCACGTATTTTGTGTGTTACAAATCGTCTGCGAAACTTGGAACTGATTGATCCCGTATTCCAGTGGCGTGGACCAGGTGGTAATATTCTTTCAGGTGAGAATTTAGTTTCTTACATACCCCCTGACACCCCTCCCACCCCCCCCCCCCCCCCAAAAAAAAAAAGAAGCGTGGAGGCTATGAAGGTGGGACCATAAAAGGAGGACTAACTCAGGACACTTTATGAGTGTATGTATATCATATAAATTAACTTTCAGTTTTCAGAAAGTATAATCGGAATGAAAGGCATCTGCAAATCTCTGTAGAGAATGGTGCCATCTTTGAAGAGTACCAGGTGACAGAGCAGGGCATATGGCAAGCAATAATTTCATAATTTTCATAATTTCCCCTCGTTGCAACTTGTCACCATTACTTCTTGTCCTTTTGTTGTGCGCATCTTAAAATCAGTTTGGCTCCATCGTCTCCCCCGAGGTAGCGGAAGACTGCAATTCCCTCCTTAGACTTCTATAGGCTAAAAATGTTTCCTCAGCCTCTTTTCATATGCTCCAGTCCCCTGATCATCTCAGAGGCCTTCTGCTGGAATTACTTTAGGTTTGTTAGCATCTGTCTTGTACTGTGGAGTCAAAACTGGACACAGTGTTCCAGAGTGCCTTCATGACTGCTGAGTAGGGGGGAATAATCGCTTTTGCTATGCTGGCTATAGTCTTACTTATGCAGCCCAGTATACAGTTGGCTTTAATTGCTGCATAAGTGTGTTTGTGATTCACGTTCAGTTCAAAGTCCACTAGGACTCCCAGGTCCTTTTCTGCAGAGCTGTTTCCAAGCCATCTCATCCCCAACTGCTTACATTGTTGCTGTTAGTCTGTCCCAGGTGCAGGATTTTGCATTTGTAACTGTTGAACTTCATGAGGCTTTTTTTTTTCCCCCTCTGGCCTTTCAGGGTCTCTCTGATTGGCAGCAAAGTCTTGTAGTGTATCAGTTTATCAGTCTCCTTCCACTTCAATTTAGTGTCTTCTGCATACTCGATGAGAAGGCATTCTGTCCTGTGGTCCAGGTCACTGGTAAAGATGCTAAGCAGCACTGGTACCTTTATCAGTCTTGAGGAAAGCCACTCATTCATAACTGTGTGTGAGTTAGACTTTGAACCATTTACTTCTATGCTAAACAATGATCCAGCCCATTTTTCACTCACCCTGTATTCCACTTTTCCAGTCCATATGTCCCTAGCTTGGCTACAAGGATGTAATGGGGGCTGTGTTCAAAGCCTTGCTGAACTTTTTCAGTGTAGACCCCTATTGCTTTACTGCTTTTCCCTCATCCTCAGAGGCAGGCGTTTAATTCCAGAAGGCAGTCAGGTTGGTCAGGCATGATTTGCCCATGACAGATCGATGCTGCCTGTTCCCAATCGCTATCTTCTCATGCATGTGCCTCGAAATGGCTTCCAGGAAGACTTGTTTCACCATGTTTGCAGGGACTGAGGTGAGGCTGACTGACCTGTGATTCCCTGGATACTCCTCCTTGCCTGTTTTGAAGAAACATTGTATTGTTTGCCTTTTTTCAGTCACTGGGGACCTCATCACCGTGACTTTAAAAACAGACAACAATCATTAGTTAGGCAGCATCCTCAGATCTGTCTCATGCTGTTCTATAAAGCTGTGTATGTACAGCCCGCTTAAGTAAGTCCCTAACACCATACTGCTCTATGAAGAGGAGTATCTCCCTTAAACTCTGGGAGAGCCTGGCAGGGGGGCTGGAAACCAGACCTTGTCAAGAAAGACCGAAACAAAGGTGACATTGACCACTTCAGTGTTCTCCATGCCCTTTGTCAGTAGCTCTCCCACTCCATTCTGCCCTGGGTCAACATTTTTGTTGCTTTCCTTCTGCTGCCATTGTTTTTGCTGGGCCTTCACATCCCTTACCAATTTCAACTTCTGGTTAATCTGCTCATAGCTAATTTAAAGCTGGCTTTATTTTTTCAGAAAGATGCCTCTAAAGAAATCCTTGTCCTAACCTGTTAGTATGGCATGAAAATGCCAGATCACTGTTTCTAAGTGGAATATGTTGGACTAGTCGTACATACGTTCTTTTTCTCAGATGATAAAGGATAACTTAGAGACCATGATCTGCTAATCAGCAGTATCTTTCCAAGTTTTAGCAGGTAATCTGAGTGTTGTTTTTTGTCTCCTTCCATGTGTATCTCATTTACCTTTCAGTGTCATTTCCTTTTCAGCATGGTAATGTTGACATTTATAAAACTTTTTAATCACTTCCTTTAGTTTACAGTTCAGGTTATGAACCATTCATCCTTTTACAATAGCAGTGTTTTCAAATCCATTTGCTTTCCTCTCAGTCTATGCTAGTGTCTATCAGAACTCTGTCCTTGGTCCTCTTATATTTTCAAGTAACTTCTTCCTGTCACACAATGTGAAATACCATTTCCACCATAGTGAATCTTAGTTCTTAATCCTCTACATACCAGCCTTTTTAGTAGAGTATTTCACGTTTCTATAACATTAACATTATACTATGCTTTTGCTCTGAGTCTGATAACAGGTTTAGCTTTGAGAAAGAACTTTTAATGTTTTTTGCCTGAAAAAGGTATATGTATTTTTGCTTATATTTCAGGCTGTGGGCTGTGTCATGTTATGTGAAATTGGTCATCCAGCTTTGGATGGATATATACTGGTTAGCTGTGTCTCCTGCATTGTAACTGATACATTTTGATGCCAGTCTGTTAGGCATGACAGATAGATACATTATCAGGGATATTGTCATGTGTGTTGATACTGAGCTTGATCTGATCAGCCAAACACAAACTCCATATTCACAATTAACAAGAAGTTGGCCTTTTCTCTCTACTGCCTTCTGCTTACCCAGACTGCAGTTTTAAAAGTGCTAACTATGTAGAACAGAACCATGGAGACCTCAGACAGGTTTAAATTTCTTCCTGCAGATTGCTTCAGCAATATCCCAAGTTGCTGTGCCAACCTTAGCACAAAACCTAGGGTGGCAGGGGTTCCTGGCTCTGTGGAAGCTTTAAGTATCCTAGAATCAGCAGCAGGAGAGCAAAAATGTTTCAGTAAAAGAAGAAAGCTTGTGTTTTTCTGACATAACTTTCTATTAGAGATGAGAGAGGTTTTAGAAAAATAACTTATTTTAAAAAAGTGGTAATGAGAGGACATCAGCAGCTTCAGCCATCACAACAGGGAAAATACTTTTTAGGTAAATATCACAAAGCTACTTTCTCAGTCTCCTAGGTCTGTTGTCACATCCTGCTTTTTCAACATAGAGAATAGAAAGTATAAACAGACAAAAACCAATCTGAATTTCTAGCTTATGAAGTGTTTGCTTTGTAAAAAAAAATATGATCGCCTGGTCTCCATTCGTAAAGGTTCTAATCCACCTCAAGTGACAAAATTTGTCTGGGTTTCAGAGTGACTAGTCACTATTCAATATCTATGATAGAGAGTCTCCATATTAGTAGGAAATTAAACTTGTATAATATATTATTTCATACTTTGTCAGTGGGGTTGTTGGAAAGGAAAGAATCTTTTCAGTGGGAACACAGAGTTGTGGGTCCAGTTATAGGAAAGGCTAACAAAAATACTGCTTCTTGAAACACTTCAAAATAAATGCAGTTATTTCAGCATAAGATCTGTAGTCACAGTACATTCATTGTACTTGCTATCATAGCTGAAAAAAGCACCCCCCCCCCCTTTTCAGGCACATCAGCTCCTGAGGTACACCTTAAGAAGGTGTTTTGTGCCCCAAAATTTTGTCTAACTGTATACAGTTAGTAACATCGTGACTACAGTAAAAACTCACAAAAACAGTAAACTTTTTTTTCCTGAAGCCATTAAAGAGCGGGGGGGGGTCTTTTTTGTTTTGAATAAGCAGCTTTATTCCCGGATAGTTCCAAAGTCCACTTATGTGCAGTTGAAAGAGTAATGAAAAATTAAATACTGCACAAAGTGTAATTTTAAATCATTATAACTTTAAAACTAACAAGTCATTTTTCTTCAGAGTTAGCGTAACAGCTCTTCTGTATTAAGATCTGGAAATTGTACTTTGAAGTTTTTAAACAGATATTAGGTGAGTTGAGAATAAGAGTTTTTCAAGATGTACTTTAAGTAGAGAAAAAAACCTTTAAAATAATTACTTTTCATGTTCAGCATCTTAAATTTCACTGCATAAAATGGCATTTTTGATGATGTTGTTAATGGTTAAGTAGCAAGCAATTCAATCTTAAAATATGTGCTAAAACTAACACTGGAATCAGCTTGTTCTAATTTGGTGAGAATAAATCCAGCAACTTGGATTAGCAGAAGTTACTGCTTTTTAATACACATTCTTACCTAATACATGCACGGAAGGAATATTGGTGTGAGGGAATGATTGTGATTGTCTTTTACAGGAGAGAAAAAAAACTGTGTACTATAGTTCTGTAAAGCAAAGCACTTCAAAAGCAACTGACAAACTAAATATCTGCAGCCAGCCTCTCTATTATGATCTAAAACCACAGATATTCTAAAACTTATTTTTGGCATATCAAACAGTTCTTCTGTTTAGAGGGAAGGAAGGAGAATCAGAGGAAATATGAAGCTGCTTTTAGCAGATGTCTATATCTGCATACTCATGCCATCCTTATAACTGATGCATCCCCTCCTACATGTTACATGAGTCTGTCAGAGTCTTGTCTGAGAAATTTTGTAAAAACAGAGTATGTAGCATTTCACTCCTAAGAAACTTTTCAGGTGGATTCCTGTTTATTATATACTAGCTTTTGTTCCTGTCCATGCATAATTCACCACCAAATGTACCTATCTGAATATCTTTACATATTAAATATTTAAATTTGAATATGCTTTGTAGTTTAATCTGAAGATTAGAATTTAAGATCTGGATTGATACCCATTTCTGAATGTCTGAAAAAAATCTGCTTCTGAAAAGCCTGTTGGCCTAGTTCTGCTGTCATTTACTTTTGTTCTTAAGACGTGATTTCATATCACAGTAGTTAGTCTGCTATAAAACTGGTCTGAATAAGAGATGGGGTGGGAGGATGGGGAGTAATTTCTTTTTTGCCCTGAAAGAACTGGAAGGAGAATTAGTCTACTGGTTTTAAGTTTAAAAAATACAGAAATGAAAGTACAGGAATACTTAGTTTTAAATATAATTATACAGGTTATGGAAAGTTAAGGAATTTAGTCTCCCTCACAACACTCTGACAGTCATAACTCTGTTGACAATAAAATGGGAACTTTTTGCATCCTTCAAATTCCTAAAGATCTTGGAAAATTATCTAACTTCCTCTCTTAACATAAGTTAAAAAAGAATTTCAGTTCTGTTTTAAGTCATGCCAGTCTTCACTGACCCCAGGAAACCTCTGAACTTGATTATATTCCCTTTTGTCCATCATGCATGTGAAATGCCTCCCATGTAATAGAGACATATTCAGTCATGTAATCACAGAATGTGTCTTGCTCACCTATCTTACTGATCCTACCACAGCAGAGTAACATGTAAAAAAAAAAAAAACAGATTTAAGCAAAGTGTGGATAATTTAATTATTTTTAAAATTTCATTTTAAAGCTAGTGGCCTTTTTGTGAACCCAACTTCATCTGCATGGGCAGTATTCATCCAGGTAGTCCCATGGAGCAAGAAATTTTAAGTGTGATTTCTTTTATAAAACTAAAAAAAAATCACAGCTCTTTATTTTATGCTCTAAAAGGAGATTCTTTGCCCACAGACATAGCGTTAAAATAATTAATGGTTATTATATTAAAATTCTGATCTTTTCTCTTATAGGAAGCGTTCAAGGTAGAAAAAAATTCTAAAAATCAGCAGCCCAATCCATCAGAAAAACTCTTCCTTTCCTATCTCTACTGATATATTTTCCAAAAATATTTATGCCCAAATCTCTTGACTGGATTTCCAAGCTTTGTCTTTGGCGGGTTTCTTGTCATTTTTGAAGTTCAGTAATGGAGTTTATAGGTATAGCAAAGCTTTATGCAAGACATCTTAAAGGTGCTCCTGCAATCCAGTCAGTTAACCATGTTGGTTCTTTTGGCTGATACAGGGCAGCTGAACACTTCAGAGATCTGACCTATAGTTCTTAAATCTGTGCTGGTTTTCAGACAGTATTTATCCAGCATAAAGCAGCAAATGACATCTTAGTTCATAGACTTAACATTTTCCGTAGTTCATCTTCATATTAAAAACCTCTTCATCACCTGAAAAACAAAGGATAGTGCGCCATTGATTTTAGAGCCTAGGTTAACGGGAAATCCCAAGCTTGTCAAAAGAATTTTGCACTTTCAGTCTTTTTAATAGTACTCTCTATTTTTCCTGATACTAAAAGAAACTAAGTTAATTAAAAGCTTAAATGGCTTCATGAGGAACAAAGTTGTGCTCCACTGTCCTGCCAAGTATATACAAATGATGCACTTTAATCAGGCTATTGTTTTCCAGTATCTTTCTTAAAATCTCTTTCATACCAGGAAAATTGGGGTGCATCTGCATCTAGTGCGATGTAAAAGTCTAGATGTTAAAAGGCCTAAATTATTTAGGAAGTGAATGAGATTTTTTTTTTTTAATTTTATTTTGGGCTCTGACAATGGAAACAGAAAACCATTCTCAAAAGCCTCTATCAAAATGAGTATTTTACCTTGAAATCTGTTATAATTAACTCCAATCCAGGGGTTCCCAAAGTTTTCTTTGACAGCTGCCAGCAAGATGGGCTGTATATTTGAGAAACTCTTATCTATATTGTCACTGCCTGAGGACTTGTCAAGTCAGGAAAGGGCTAATCAACTGTCATCATGTAACCCACATCCAGGCTACACGGGACAGCTGTATGGCGCATCATCAGCACCCAAAGTCTGACCTCAAGCAGTGCTTTTCTTTCTCTTTAAAAACCTAATTAAAGAGCTGCACTTAGAATTTGTCCTGTAAAATAGGATTCCACTTCCCTTCTGCCTGGAATTAACCAAGGAGTTGTTTTTCAGACTTATGTCTCCATAACAGCACGCATCTTTTTGCACGGAAAGATTATCTATCTTAAACATACGTAACTTATTTTGGTATGTACATAAGATTTTTTTTAATGTCTGTCCTAGAGTCCTTGTTTAGCTAAAACTTCCTGTCTGTCCTACTTTGAAGTTTACTGCTTGTTAAACACCAACAGCAGCTAATTGTTAGAGGCACTTCCTGAAGACTGAAAGTTACTAGTCAGTGTGACTGTATAAAGATAAAATTATAAAAACAGAGTATATGCTCACTTTGGCCTGTTTCTGGGCATTTTCTGCTCTTGAAAGTGGTTAGGTATTGTAGAAAACAATAGGTAGGTGAGATCAAATAAAAACATAATGACCTGGTTCTTAAAAGCTCAGCAGCAATAAGGCATGTTTGCATAATGCTGAACTGAGTGACACTCAATCAGTTTCAGTTTCTAAGGAGTTTTGTGCCTTCAGCTGAATCCATAATAGTACTATTCTGTGCAGTTTAAGAGTAAATAACCATTTGGAGCCTTCTCTCTCCATTTTCTTGTAACAACAGCTAAACCTATTTCATTATTGTATTTACTAGAAAATAGCAGTGTGAAAATATCACCAACAGGAACTTTAATGTTTAAACGTTTCAAATCCAACCAGAGTGGAGTTTACACTTGTTCCCTCGTTTATAAGCTAACTGCAGAGCAACCTGCTAAAAACCTCATAATGACATATCTTATTTATGGTAAGTTATCAAACTTGGTAAGTGTGTTATTGCCTTGAAAATTATTTTAAAATGCATGTTGCTGTTTTTAAATAAGTAGGCATATTCAGCATATAGCATGGAGAGGTAAAGTCATTCTGTTTCTCAGGATAAATTATTTATAATAGTAGTTGCTACCAGACAGTTCATTTAATGTCATTTACGGAGCCCTAAATGAAGATCACTGTTTGATTGAGAAATTTATAAATACAGTTCTTTTTTAAAAGAAACCTAAAACATAATGGCACATAATGAATTGGGTAGGCAGTAATCCTCAACAACATAAAAATAGTACAATTTTAAACCGAATTACTCCTTCTCAAGTTAATTGTAACAGAGCCACATGGATTTGTTTCACATCAGCCTTAATCTGTTACATGGTTGTGGTTTTTTGAGTACATATCATATAATTATGTAATATTTGCAGCTCATTCTTTCCTGTTCTGATTACATTTCCTTCAGTGAGGAAGTAAAAAGTCTTTGATAAAATGAAAGACCGTAGAGGTAGTGTCATTTATTCACTTCTAGCTTTTCTTCTTTAAAGGAAGTTATTTTATTCTTGCAGAGACTCAGGCAAAAGCTGCTATTTGCCTTCAGCATGAACTATGACCTGAAGTTTTAAATGCAAAGTAATGCTCATTTAGAAATTTGGAATAGAGCACAATGACCTAAATTAACCTCTGATGTAAATTAATTCGACTTTGGCATAGAATCCCTAATATGGAAAAACCGTGACTTGTAGCAATTAGTCTGCTGGACTGAATTGAAAAAGAGGAAGTTTCTTCGAAACACAGTTCTTTCTGATAGAAAAATTTACAGAAAACCCACCATTTTCAGTAATGGATTCTTATGTTCTTCAGCAAAGATCCAATCTACATATTAGCATACAGAATTCAAGTTTCATACAAATATGCAAAAAATCCAGAATATGTAGCAGCAAGGGAAAGGAACTGGGGGAGGCAAGAGAAAGGCAGAAGATGTAATGACCTGTCTTAACTGGGTACCGTATTCTGGACGTTCTACTGCTTTATTTTTCTTTTTTCTTTCAGCTGGTTCAGTTTCTTCTTCATTCTTTCTCCCCCCTCCATGTTCTTTTTTCTACAATTCTACCCACCCCATGAACCCCATTCTTCCTTATGTTACCCCTGTTTTTTGAATTGCCCTTTAACCTGCTGCTCTGTTGATCTACAGTTTTAGGCTGATAGAGCGGTTTTCATGAAATAAGTAAGAAAATGCTTTTTATGGTATATTAGCATATTTGTAAAAGACAGTTAGCTTCATGGTAGAGGTGAACTAGCTGATCCATCCATAAAAGTAAATTTCATACCTATTCAGTAGCTTGTTCAGGTACCCATACTTGTACAGAAGAAATTTCTGTACATCTTATTAATTGCATCTTCCATCAGTCTCTGGGGAAGAGAATTCTGTTTTTAAGCCCTTTAAAATAGTTTTGTGACAGTCAACTAAGAAATACAAAATACACTATTATAACTGAACGTAATGTGTGAGATGAAATATTCTACTATATACTAAAAGGAAATTTGCAACCTACTTAACTTAATTTCCTGTTAGTTTAAAAAAGTAAAAAATCCCACTGATAAAGACTTGCCTGTGGATATAAATAAGGCTGCTGACTTGTAAAAAATATCTTTAAGTAAGTGTGTTTCCAACTGGCCCAGCATATGTTAGTCTAGCATTAAAAATTCTGTGGGAGTGCAAAAAAGAATTTGTTTACAAATTAAAGATTTAAATTGGCAATTTTATTTTCAAACAGAGAAATTACCTTTTACTTGGTATATATGGGACTCATCATCTTTTATATTTTTTCCTGCAGCTTATTCTGATTCCAATTATTACTATGAGTTTACAGCCCAGTATCATGCAGCCCCCTGCAACAGTATTTACAACATTTCTTTTGAGAAAGCATTGCTTCAGGTACTAAGCAAACTTGTTGCTGAACTTTCTTGTGAGGTTACATTAATTAAGTCAGAATGCCATCATGTAAAAATGCAGAGAGCAGGTCTACAGAATGAAATCTACTTTACGTTTTCAGGTAAAATCTACCTTGTTTTTAAAGAATGTTTAACATTTTTATAGTTATGAGAATTATTTTTAAGGAATACATTTACTACTTATATTCAGAAAATATTGTACATGTTTAATAATAAAGTTTCTAGATTGTAAAAATGCATCAAAGTATTGTATGCAAAATTCATGTCACTAGCCAAAAGATAAGCTGATCTACTCAAAAGTATGTATTTTGCATGATTTCAGAGCAGCAATAGAACTTTTTATAGTCTGGGGTAGATCAGTGCATTTTGAAATTTTATATCATAAAACATTATCATGTCCCTTCTTCCACACCACCATGGGAAGAAAAGTGATTGATAGTGTGCATTCTCTAATGCCCTAGATGACTTTCATCTACCCATCTAAATCACTCCATAGGTGTGCCTCAGTCTCTGCAAATAATTCTTAAATGATGGGCTAAGACTGGATGTCTAACTATTCAACAACTAAAGTTAAGTGAGATGAATCTCAGTACCTTCCCTTCTTTAACTGACAACAAAAGAAGAGGAAAGCTTTGTAATTTTCAATTTTTTTTTATTGTCCTCAGAAAAAGCAATAGGAGCCTAAGGGAGACCTCAGTAAAACAGTTGCCAAAAATGGTGTGTTGGCTTTGATGTAATAAGAGTTTTCTTCCATAATGATTAAAAGCAAGCAAGTACCTGGCTTAGATAGATGTTACTAAATTATGGATTATTTATTTAAGGATACTTTCTGAGCTTCAGAAAGTAGTAATAATGTGTGTAGTAGTCATTATAAAATGTTAGGATGCGTGATATCTGGATGTGTTTATACATAAATGACTGACTGTGAAGAGCTCAATGTCTTAGGTACTCCCCTTCCTCTGATAAAGCTCCGTTATTAAAAGTACATTTTCACTTTAACATTAATTAGTTTTCATAAAATGTTTCTATTACCAGCTTTTCACTAAATGCAAGAACTGTGGAAGTCAGAAATCTCAGTGTGGTCTCAATCCAAAGGAGATATTTTGTTCTTTTTGAGACTCTTTCAGAATATTCCTTCTGAACTCTGAAACCATATGAAAGAGTCTACTCCTTTATGCTGTGAATGAAGTTTGGAAGTAACTATAAAGCAGTCCCAATCAGTGGGTAGTTCCTTTGAACTTTATGTTATTAAAAGATCTAAATCCCAAAGAGATACAATAAAATATTTTAATTGTTGAGCTGAATGTACCTAAGAACGTCTTTAATAATTTCCTGAACTTAGTTTCTAATTTCCTAAACTCTCAAAAGGCCACTTTTTTCATACATTTTGTATTAGATTAGTCACTATGTTTCTCAAGACATGCAATTTGAATATACCCTTTCTTAACAAAGTATACCAAGTATACAAGTTCCTGGCTGACTGTGTTAAACCTGAATGCGTATAAAAGCACAATGAGAGGCAGGTAATTGTAGAGGGGGTAACTTATTTCTATTGAAAGGATTCAAATATTTACAAATTTGGGAAGCTTTCAAGATTATACATTTCCTTGCCATCAGAATTTACAAATAAATGTCAGCCTCCATGACATATTTAAGTATACTGAAAACTAGACATAGAAGTTTCAGTAATGTGATTTCTTTTTAAAAACATTGTTGCAAATCAGACATCTGAAATGTGGAAGAAATTCTTACATACTTGTGTCAGAGATGACCAGAATCTTAAACCAGTAAATCACAAAAAGAAGAAAAACAAAAAGCTTAGTGTTGACTTCATTGACTTTGTTCCTCTGTAAATAGACTGTATGTTGTTACAGTTGCTTCATTAGACAAAGAAAAAAACAACAGACCATGTCAGCAAAGCACTTGTGACACATCTGAAAGATTAAGCAAGGTACAGTAAGATGATAGAGGAATAAAAAGGCAACTAACAGGAATAAGCTACTCTAATTAAAAAAAAAAAGTATAATATCAACATAAACCATACTTTGTTTAGTAAATTTAGAAAGGAACAATTGGATATAAAATTTTTATCAGTTAAAATTATTAGTACTCTGTTTGCCTTATAGATAAGGCAGGTCACATTATCAGTCTGTATTGAGAACAGTATTGATATCGTTCATAACAGGCAGTGAGATAATTATACAGAAGTAAAATAATGAAGATGAAAAGTAGCAGGACAGTCATGAAGCTTTGAACGTGCAGTGACTTACAAATATTAAACATGCTCTTTTGCAATGGAGAGTGCCTTTTCATCACTTTAAAGTGATCTTACTATTGATCTGGTAAAATTGTATCTGCTTGCAGACTTTTGGCACTTGCAGTAGAGAACCAGAAGCCAGACTTTCACTTTCTAGGTGAATGCCATAGCTGTTAATTCAGAAGAATTAACAGGGACATGCTTAGAGGGGAAAGGAAAACAGGGGGAGGGAAGGACAGGAGCAAGACCTCTCTTCTCTGAGAAGAGAAGAGGTAAAGAAAAAGAGGAAGGAAAGGCATGAAAAGGGTGGAATTTCACAGAAAATATCTTGTAGAGGAGAGATGAATTGCTAAGGAACTTCTGGAAGGCGTTATTGATTTATGGAGGATAAATACTGCTGCTGTCACAGCCTTCTGGGTACTATTTAGCCAAGTGCATCTTTGCGTTGGCAGTCATCTTTCTGCCTTGTTCTCCGCACATTTACCTGCTCCATAACACAATCCATATGGAAGTTCACACAGGCTTCATGTCACAAACATGCTGATGAAGTCCTCTATATACTGCTGTATAGAAGGTTTAGGGCTTGATTCTCTTTGGGTCATTTTTTCCAAAGAGATGATAGCTGGTTAAAAGAGGGGTTTTTTTTATGCATCCACATTCAGAAGAAGATTCTGTGAATCCTGAATATATTATCCTGCAATTTGGACTAAGGACTAGAGGGAAGTAGAAAGGAGAAACAATCTTGACCTCAGTGTTTCTGTGGACTTCCTCTAAACAAGCTCCCTTGTATTAAACCAAGTTTAGGCGCTCCCTCTGTTCAGTACAGTGTTTGTTTTGAATGCCATTTTGAAGTATCTATCTCTTCCCCTCCATTGTCAAGAAATAGCAGGTACACAGCTCATGCTTTGTGATTCTGCTGGAAGATGCTAGGAAGTCTAAAATATTTGGTATTCATTAAGCAACTTCCATCCTGCCCACTGAAAAAATCCAAATTTTGTGAGAAAAGCTCATGATCAAAGTTCATCTTTTTCATATAGAAAAGAGGGTCAAATTAAGATTGCAGGAACAAATTTGTTTTTGCCCTTTTTGTAATTTGTGTATGCATTGGACTCTGCAAGCCTACTGAAGTTTTTTCCCTCTTTTTCGGTTCAGTTTTTTGAATAATTAATCCCTGTGAACAAATGAAGAACAGTCTGGACATGCAGCACTGATAGTTCTTACTGTCAGACTTTTTCAGGTTGCTAATGGGTCTATGCTTTGTTACATATTTTATCTCCCTTAGTTTATAATTCACATTTTTAATTTAACTATGATGACTTAATATCTTTAATATTCCAGTGGAAGGCACTTTATAAAAAGCTGTCCAAAAAAATCCAGATAAAATAAAGAACTTTTAAAAAGTATATGTTGCCTTTGGCTGGGGACCTGGGACGGATGCTGTTAAGCTTCCTTGAATCCTAATTTTTCTGTAATTTTATGCTGCTAGTTCTGCACTGATTGAAAATAATCTTTTTGCTATCTTGGACTATATTTCAGCAAATCTTATTTAGTAAGGAAATAGTCTTCTGTTATTACATTTGATTGATATAATAATTGCTTTAGTTTACTTGGTTCTAGGAAACGCTTGGCATTTTTTTTTCATTGAATGGAGACAGCTAACATGGATAGAAAGTATTTTTGAAATATAAATGAGCCTAAATAATGGTACTTATACAGGTGGGAAAACTACAAGAGTATTGATTTTGGCCTGCAGATGTGTAATGTAGGCAAAACTGCCACTGATTAGCTTTTAAAATTATTTTTGCACAATCTTGACCACTTTGAAAGATGTTGTATTAATTGATCAGAGTTTATCTAAATTAAAAATAACTTACCCAAGAATACTAGATTGTCCTGCGGTTTCCATTCAACCTATCAGCTACAATCAAAAGCTCTACTAGTGCATCATTTAAAACTTATGCCAATCCTAGCTCATAAGCACGTTCTTTGGTCTTTTCGTGTATTTTTACCTCTCTGTTACAAAGATTTTGAAAAAAATTCTTTCAATTCAGGCAAGATACCTCATAGAGAAATTTTTTGAGCAACAAGTGGAAATTATGAGGAAAAGTTCTGAACCACTGCCTGAAATATACTACATTGAAGGTACTCTGCAAATGGTATGGGTTGATCGCTGCTATCCAGGATATGGAATGAATCCTCTAAGACATCCAGACTGCCCGGATTGTTGTGGTACGTGACAAATTTATCATACAAAATATTTAATACTATTAAGATATCTTTTGCGCTGATTGAATACTTGCTCTTCAACTTTATAAAATTTTTCAGCCACACTGCTTTGGGCTTTTTGGGTTTGAGCTGGTAATGTCTGTCAAGGTAACCAGTATTTGTTACTGAGGCTGTTATTCCTTGGGCAAATCTTTTTTAAGATCTTGTGGATTTACATCTGAAGCCAAACTCCCAATTTCTAGGGACGATTTAAATTAAAATCAATCAGATTAAGTTCATACCTTTTCCTTGGAGTTCACAAGAAAAGTCCATAACGTGACAAAATATCTTTTAAGTGCTATTTTCAGGTTAGACAAACAAGACTGAATTATTTTTGTTCTTAAATTTATAAAAGCAGGGATACTAATGCAGTGCTTTCTTACAAACTGAAATGTTACATTTTAGCCCCGAATAAAGTGACAGTCTAGATGAAATAATCTCTTTACATAGCTTTGCAAAAGAAAGTTAAATTTGAGAATATTTGTGATCCATTTTGTATAAAACGGAAAAGGGTGGACTGAATTCTGATAATTTTACTCACACCAGTCCACATATTAAAACAAGCAAGGTCACTGTCTGTTGACACTAAGGATTGGATTGTTTTAAAAAATATTCCCCCCGCCCCCCACAAAACGCCATTCATATGATTACCAAATCTTGAGGCTGAAGTCTCAAAGGAACAACAGAAGACACACACACATAGAATAAATCTGTAGTCAAGCTTTTGATGGTAAAAGAAAACACTGGATTACATTTCAAAGATGGTTTAGAGAATGAAATATACTTTAGAAAGAAATGTTAAAAATATACAAGAAAATAGAAAACATAATGTGTGATGACTGTAAAATGGACATGGGAAATATTTCTACCTGTGATTGGTTTTTCCAATTTCTTCTCATTACAAGAAGAAACTTAGATTTGCTGATGGATGCCTTCCAGCAAAACGTAACAAATCATTTGGAAGGGTTAAATACGTACAGATTTTATTGCATTTATTGTATATTATTATTGTACGTGATCTCAAGGAAAAGTACGTTAAAATCACTTTTAGAAAAGGTATCTTCCTTTTAGTAGTTTAGTTATGCACAGACTCTAGTTCTGTCATGGGCTTTCCTCCTTTTCTCTTTCC